GCCGCCAAGAAGACCACGGCAGCCAAGAAACCCGCTGCCAAGAAGCCGAAGGCGGTCAAGAAGTCCCCCAAGAAGGCGCCGGCCAAGAAGGCGGTCAAGAAGGTGACCAAGAGCCCCAAGAAGGTCGCTCCTAAGAAGCCAAAGGCTGCCAAGAAGCCTGCAGTCAAGAAGACTGGCGCCAAAAAGCCCGCGGCCAAGAAGACCAAGAAGTAGATCTGATCTTCATGAGCTCTTCACCCGCACCGAGTGCAACAAAGGCTCTTTTCAGAGCCACCACTGCCTCTGGAGAGCTGCTCTCTGTTTTAACTAACTGGGTTTAATGGTTATTAACTGGTTCAATACTGTGTCTGCTTTCATTAACTGGTAATAATGGTTGATAACGGGTTCAAGAATATTCATGCCTGCTTTCATTAACTGGTAACGCATTATGTCCACAGGGTCCCAGTTACATCCAACAATAAAATGTAAAAGAAAAACAGTAATAACATCTAAGATATGAACTAAGAAAAACATCAACTAAATATACACTAAGCACTCATAACATAAAACATTGAACATCAGCACAAACATGAACATGAGTCTGTGAGCAGATGTGCACGCATGAACACAGCAACATGAAACAGATCAGCAGCAACATGAAACAGATCAGCAGCAACATTGAAACCGATCAGCAGCAACATGAAACAGATCAGCAGCAACATGATGTGATTTTTCACAGTTCTTCTGGTGAGGAGACTGACTCCAACAGACTTCTGTGCATCATCTCCTCTCATCATCTCAATCATCTTTAAATTAGATTCCCAGATTGGAGCGGTGGTCCAGACCAGTTTTTATCACCTCAGACAGCTGCTAAGGTAAAGACCATCCTTACAAAACAGCAGCTGGAAACAGTAATCCATGCCTTCGTCACCTCTCGGCTGGATTACTGCAACGCTCTTTACCTTGGAGTCAGCCAGTCCTCCCTCAGACGCCTCCAGTTGGTCCAGAACGCTGCTGCTCGGCTTCTAACTGGAGTTCATGAGAGGGAGCACATCACCCCCACTCTGGCTTCACTCCACTGGCTGCCCGTTCATTTTAGAGTTCATTTTAAGATTCTTTTATTTGTTTTTAAAAGTTTAAATGGTCTTGCTCCATCCTCTCTCTGAGCTGCTTCACCCATACTCTCCTGCTCGGTGCCTCAGATCAGCTGATCAGCTGCTCCTGGAGGTGCCGAGGTCCAAGCGGAGGCTCAGAGGGGACAGAGCTTTTTCTGTTGCTGCTCCAAGACTGTGGAACGATCTCCCTCTTCCATCAGACGAGCTCCTTCACTGTCCAGTTTTAAAACTCTTTTAAAACACATTTTTACTCCCTGGCTTTTAGCACACACTGAATTTACTCTGCACTGTTTTTATTACTTTTATTGATCTTAATGTTTTAACAACTGTTTTTATGTGTTTAAATGTTCTGATTTTATATGTACAGCACTTTGTGGCAGCTGTGGTTGTTTTAAAGGGCTTTATAAATAAAGTATTATTATTATTATTATTATTATCTCATCTCTGCCATACACATATTATTACTCCAAACTGAACTCATGCAACTATTTGTTGAAGCATGAATGTATTTTAATTTTCATAACCTTCTGTATTAATTTGAACAACTCCAACTGCAGCAGTTCTTAGCACTGCTTAAAGCTCCATATTTCATGCACCTGGATAGTCCTGCAGCCCTGAGGAACTCCTCCAGAGCAGCAGCACGTGACTCTTTGCTCTCTCTCTGAAGTAAAGTCTTTTTCTTTCCTAACACCCCATGGTTTTGTTTTCTTGAGCATCTGTTGTTGGTTTCCTGGTTTCCTGCTGTGAGCAGCTGGCAGAAGGTGAGACTAATGGCCCCGAGTGTCTCAATGTGAACACAAGGTGTGTGATCAGGAATAAAACCAAAATACAGAATTACATAATAATGCTCATTTATAATACTTGTACAGGATTCGTTGCTTTATGATTTTAAAATTCATTTAAAAACAAAAGTAACTGTATCATTATTGGGTAGCTCAATAATTCATTACATCATTTAATGATAAAACGTTGGTTACGTACTGTAACCCCAGATTCTATGAATATAGGCGTAGCCCTTTAAGGCTGTCGCTGATGGGTTTATCCCGTTATGCGCAAGCATCATACTGAAAAAATTAGTCCACGCCCACCTGCTGTGTGGGCCCCACCCGATCCGTATAAATTACGTTAAGAGCGGGTAATCTGCTCCCAAATAGCTTATTCTTTTCTTCAGCTATTCAGGAGCCAGTGAGGCCCGACGCTTAAAGGGCTACGCCTATATTCATAGAATCTGGGGTTACAGTACGTAACCAACGTTCTATGTCATATAGGCTTCGCCCTTTAAGGCTGTCGCTGATGGGTTAAGGGCGAAGCGGATGTGGTCCTCGCCTCACTGGGTCCATCCGAACCCAGTAAGAAGCGGAAGCTTGCCCAAAAAACGTCTTGCCACTCAGTTCCCCATGTGCATAATTACGCATCGCGTAATTGTGTGCCATGCACAGACGCATGTTGCAACTATGCGTTCTGACAGCATGAATGCCCCGGAAAAACTTCAACGGGGAAGATATTGAGAAGAGGAGGGGGGGGGGGGCATGAAGCAACTGATTCATGATTGAACAGTATAAACAGATTAATGTCAATGAACTGATTATTGAACAAATGAACTGATTGGTAACAATAGTCATGAACTGATTAGTGACAATAGAACCGAATCACAGACACAACTTGTGGCTGATAACAACATCTCACACTGTAATGCATGCAGACAGATGTGAGCTTAAAAACAGAGTTCCATGAGAACAACAATATTCATTCTGTTAAAGCACTAAGGACAGAATGTGTCATGGAACGAGCCGTTACATCACGTAGGTAAAAGCGAATAAATGAGCAGGGTGATGACCATGCAGCCGCAGTGCAAATGTCCTGCATTGACATACCATTATGCAGAGCAGTCGAAGATGCGATACCCCTGGTTGAGTGTGCTTTGAGGTTGACAGGAGGCTCTAGATCTGATGCTCTGTAGGCTTCAGAAATGGCCTCACACAGCCAGTGTGACAGGCGCTGGGTGGATAACGGGCGGCCTGCGGATGCATCTCTATAATGCACAAACAAATGTTGAGTTTGACGCATTGCAGCTGTGCGCGCTATGTAACACGATAACGCCCGCACCGGACAGAGAAGATGAAAAGATGCTTCTTCTTCTGATTTGTGGGGGGGAGGGAAGAATCCCTCCAACGATATCTGTCTCGATTTAAAAGAGCTCGTGATGCTTTTAGGCATAAAGGCTGGGTTTGGTCTTAAATCAGCTGAACTACCGTCAGCCTGGATTCTGAGACATGACGGAGCGGCAGAGAGGGCAGATAAATCACTCACCCTCTTAGCGGATGTTAAAGCCAGCAGCAGGGCTGTTTTAAGAGACAGGAATTTAAGTGAAACTTGATCCAGAGGCTCAAAAGGAGCTTTGATCAGGGCTCGCAGGACCAGTGTTAAATCCCACTGTGGAACGAGTGGGCGTGAAACCGGTCTATGTCTTTGTACACCTTTTAAAAACCGCTTCATCAGCGGGTGGTTAAAAGCTGTTCTGTCCCCGAACCCTTCGTGGCAGGAAGAGATGGCTGCCGCGTACGTTTTAATCGTGCTGAACGCCAACTTCCTATCCATCAGCTGTTGAAGAAAGGACAGCACGCCACCTAATGGACATGAGGTGGCTTCCAAACCTTTCTCTGTACACCAACGCTGAAAAGCCGTCCACTTTGATGTGTACAGGGCTGTGGTAGATGCAGCACGTGAATCTTGAATTGTGCGCACTACCTCCTGAGGGAGACCCATCCTCTCTAAGCGGGACCGCTCAGCGGCCAGACCCACAGGTGCTGGCCTATTTCCGGGTAACTCCTGATCGCTCCTCCTGCTTGAAGGAGAGCATCTTCCCTCCATGGTAGTTTCCACGGGCGACCTGACAACAGACGCTGCAGGACCGGGAACCATGGTGCGTTCACGCGCTCGGGAGCTACCAGGAGAGCTGTCAGTCCCTCCTCCTGAACTCGGTTCAGGAACCGTAAAATCAGAGGAGGAGGAGGGAACGCGTACAGAAGCGTTTTGGGCCACGGGCTGTGGGCAAATGCATCCACCCCCAGCGGTGGATCGTCTCGAGGGCTCAGGGAAAACCATAACTGACACTGAGCGTTCTCTCGCGTCGCAAACAGGTCCACAGCTGCTTTGCCAAACTTCTGCCACGTCTGAAACATCAGGTCTGGATGGAGGGTCCAGTCCGCGTGACGTGGACCGCCCCTGGACATCACGTCTGCTCCTCTGTTCAGAACGCCGGGTATGTAAACCGCTCTGATGGAAAGCAGATTTTGGTGAGCCCAACACAGTAGCTTCCGTGCAATGTGTAACATCTGGGCTGAACGCACACCCCCCTGGCGGTTTATGTACGCAGCAGTCACCATGTTGTCTGTGTGAATCAACACGTGTTGATTCTGTAGCACGGGAGCAAAATGCTGAATCACATTCAGCACTGTGCGACACTCCAAAACATTGATGTGGGCTGATGTGCGGTGGGGCCACAGCGCCCCTACTGCTTGAGATAGGCATGTCCCCCCCCAACCTGACAGAGACGCGTCCGTGAAGACAGACACATGTGACGTGGGTCTGCTGACGGGGACTCCCTCTGACAGAGCCAGGGTGTTTCCCCAATGTCGGAGGTCTGCTCTCACGGAGGGAGGGACAGTGATCATCCGTCTCTTTTGTTTTACTGGATCCACACGCAGACGCGTAAACCACCTCTGGAGGCGCCTCATGTGTAACAAACCCAGCGGGACCACTGTGTGAGCTGATGACATCATTCCCAACAGCTTCATGACGGAGACAGCTGTTACCACTTTGCCAGGTCTTACGTGGCGTAATTGGTTTTTTAGAGAGTCGATTCTTGTTTGTGATAAGCGAGCCGTCATGGTAATTGAATTTAATTCCACTCCCAGATAAACAATTGTCTGGGCCGGGAGAATCGAGCTTTTCTTCCAATTTATGGCGAAACCCAGATTTAGCAGATGTGACGTCAACACCTGAGCCTGTATCAATGCTTCCTGTCTGGAGTGAGACAGGAGCAGCAGGTCGTCCAGGTAAAACAAAACTCTCATCCCTGCTCTGTGCAGTGGATGCAGGGCTGTCTCCACACACTTTGAGAACGTACGAGGCGCGAGGGAGTACCCGAAAGGCAGCCTGTTGTACTGGTACTTCATCCC